TTTTTTGAGTGATTTCTTGAAAATCTGATGTGCATTTGCTTATCAGGCATATTTCGACTACAAACATCAATGTCAAAACATTAAAAGTGAAAGTAATTTCCGAGTCATTTTTTATAGTTTTATGTACTTTTGTCATTTTGATTAGTTTTTTGTTTTTAAATATTTCAATTTTGCTGTAATTTATCTTTATTTCAGTTATAGAGTTTTATTTCAAGTAATTTTTGTACATTTATTTATTTAATTTCATTTGTTTGCTATGGAAACATTTTTTTTAAGGTTTAGTTTTATTTTAATTTTATTTCAGCTTTATTTCAATTAACAAAAACACATTTTAATAGTTTTAGTTAACAGTATCACAGAATGGAACTGCAAAATAATATGTTTTCAAACAAGTTTTCCCTGTCTTTCATTGGTCTGACAAACAGGAAGTCTCTCCAAACTCACTCTGTTGGTTGAGCCAATCTTGCTACAGTATGTTAGACTGATCAGGATGCTCAAACAGCGTATGTTTTATAAGCAAGTATTTAACATTAAAAATATTTATATATATTACATAAAATATTACATGCTTTTATTTGATTTTTTTAGCTCTTCAATGACAAACTGTCCATTCAAGTCACAGACAGTATTTTACACAGCACTGAAAATCTGAAAATAAAGCCCCACGACACATGCACAAAAAAACCTAAGGGGTATTTGCATGTGATAAAAAATTATTTGTATTTGATTTAAGAGTGCTGTCCTCGGGCGAGACAGTAAGGTGTTTCTATCACACAGGCTACACCTCATTGCCTGTGATTATTCAACTTTCTGAGAGCCCCCTCTGCCCCAACACTTTCAGCCCCAAAATAATATCTCATATATGCATTATCCAGCCCCCACGGCAGCCCCCTCATTACTAAGGATCATTCCAGAATTAGATTCCGTCCTTCCAATATTGGTTCCAAGAGCTGGCTCCTTTGTACTGTAGTCAAAGGTTAAAATACCAATCACGATAGCCTCAACTGATGGAGCCAGACATTTTAATATTCGCTTAGCTTGGTAATTGTGGAGGGACGTAATATCATTCTTTCTCATTCTCTGTGTCCTAAAGGTAACATGTAGGAATGTCAGAGAACAGAAGTGCGGCCTGGTATGTCTATAGGGCTTTTGAAGACATGAATACGGGTGAGGATAATGACTTTTCCTACACATTTCCCCTACATTTGTGTTATAAAGCAATATTTAGTATGTATTTTTGCTTCCGGTAACAGTATGAACACAGTAGCCCCGTATAAGTAAGTTGGTCATGTTGTGTTTTTTCGGTGCGTTCCACCTTCTATCGTTAGGTGTTTCTGTCTGTAGTGATGCAGGGGTCTTTGTTAATCACTGCTGACACTGTGGGGAAGGGAGAAGACCGTTTGCGCTCGGCCAAGGAGTGTTTGTTGATCATTATTTTGGGAGTGTCATGTCAATGTCAGCCCTGTGGCGAGAAGAGACAGAGCTTACAGAGGGAGATGGGGAGGAGGAGACAGTGGGTTTGGGGGTCTCAGCCTATCATTGCCTTTCACTGTTACACACTTCACAGCCCATACACTCCTGTTCAGCCCCCTAAGCTCTGATTTGCTGCATGTCCGTTTTAGAAACCCTTATGCATGTGAAATTATTTTAGCACAGAAAGAAAATAAAGTTTTTCTGTTGCATTTCTTGTTTAGAAAATATTCTATGATGTCAGATTTTAAGACCATATTGTTTGCATTCTGTTGTGGAGATGTGGCTGTGGGATACTCTGAGTGAAAGAGAATACGATGTGAATTTGTAAACAGAGGTGCTGCTGGGACACCGAGGGGGAGAGAACAGGGGAGTATCATATTTTAACCATTTGTTTCCTGGTAGCAGGCGCCAAGACTCCTGGGAGGAAGTGATCAATGATGGACACCATAATGTGTCTCGCTGTATTCCTTGTCACACTCAAGCCTTCTGTCTGTTTTGGGAGTTCTCTGGTTCACACTCATACATATGCACAGATGGTAAGGCAGCGCAGACAGCTCATCACTTTGACACTTACTACAGTTCTCCATCCTGAGTCTGCCAACAATATCTTCTTTCTTTCTTTCTTTCTTTCTCTCTCTCTCTCTCTCTCTCTCTCTCTCTCATCTCTCTCTCTCTATATATATATATATATGGAGAGAAAAGAAAATAACATTTTATTTGTAACTCCTCCAGAACTAAATATATGCAATTTATACAAAGCTTTCTGCCAGTGCGTGACATTATATGATGCATCTTTACCCACGACAAAAGACACTGCTCTCTTGCTTGTCCCGAAAACTTACAAACAGCAATTAAACTCCAATTAGGTTCATGGCTTTGCAGAATTAACTGATGTAATTTGATTCACCACTGAATAAATGAATCTCAAAAACAAGAGTAAGACTCAATATTCAAAAACATGCCTTCTAGCATACAAATTTATTCGTTTATTTTCATTTAAGGACTTGGATTATGAAGCTAGAGACTTAAAAGACTTTGTTAATGATCTTGGAAGTCATAATTAGCGGGTCTGAACCCTCTATTAAACTGTGATTTAATTTACTCAAGCTAATACCTTAGTTCTTTATGAGAGAGTAACTTTATTTTATGTTCCCTCTCTCTATACGAACAGTTTCTCATTATGAGACAGGATGGCCAAAGTCTTCAGTAAATGTATGTGTATGTTTGTTTTTATTTATGCTGCCCAAGTCAAACATGTTTACATTACCCAATTTTTTTAAATTATATTAATATTGGTCAGCTGACTGTAAGACTGCATATATAATATATTATTACACTAATTTATTAACAAATTAGAAATGTTTCAAAACAGATTACTCTGTGTGAAGGTTGGCAGATTAAGTCAATTGAATGCCCCGCTAAAGGTGCTATATGGCGTTTAACCAGCAGATGGATAGCCGTGGTAGTGTACTGAGTTCGTAATACACATACAAAAAGGTATGTTTGAGGCTTTGTAAAAAAAAATGTTGGTGTTCATTTATAATAAGACTCTGATAAATTGACATTCACTATAGATGCGCCGGATGGAGATCTACATTTGAGAAAATATCCAAGTCGGACAGGGAGGTGGAAGATGATAAATTTAAAGTTAAGAGAGCGGGACGGGCTGAGAGGAAAGAGAGTGAGAGAGAGAAGGAGCGCGCGCGTGGCGGTACAGTAAGCGACTCGCCAGCGTTAACAGAAGTGCGCGCGGATCGGATGTTGACACAACACGCGCATCTGTATAATCTTTATCACTAATCCGCTCAACTCCTTAAACCTCCGTGATTCTTTTCTAAACCGTAAAAAAAAAGCTTCTAACGCTTCTTTTCGCGCTTTTTCTTTCAGTCATTGGCGAACTCTTCTGACTGACATCACCTGCGTTCCAGCTTGGATAAAACAACAGTTTGATGTCCGACTGAGATGATAAAGATGTTTGACTACATTATTGTGAGTATTACAATGAGTGTTTACTAGGCTATATTTAACTAATGTGATATTTTTGGGCAATAGGCCTATGTTTTCGCAAGTCTTTCTTGTTGAGTTATGCGAGATGTTTAGTTTTATAAGGATCCGTTTCATTTTGTTGTTGTCGTATGCTAAGCATTATGAGTGAACTTTTCCGGAATGCACTAAAACTTTGAGCGCAAGATGTATCAAATTTATTATTTTTTTCAAGAAACGTTGTATGACATAACTTTTTTTGCACAATTACATCTTTCAAAGAACTGAATAACACCTGTGACCTGAACAATCTATAGCACCTTCAAGTCAGAAAGTTGCATAAATTTAACATCTGACAGCAACCGAATGGTAATATTTGGATCGAATTTAGTCTAAAGCAGATTTCAGATTCAGTATCACGTCTTAAAGGCAATATTTAGAAGCTTTGTTCACCGTTTTGAAGACAATCACTCACACCGCTTATGCGAACTATTGTAAAAATTGTTTTGTACTTGAAAAAAAAAGTTTTGTACTTGTTTTAAGTATATTATTAAAACAATGACAGGCACAAATAATAAATTGCTCCATATGTATAATTAATTAGCATTTGAATTAAGTTTTAAAGTTTTTTTTTATTATTTAGAATTTATTTATTATCATTGTTATTGTTGTTAGGATATATAATTATTACAAATAATAATTATTATGATAGGCTGTTGTTGGGCTATTGTTGTTGTCTTTAGACACGCAATTATTTGCAAATGACCGACAAAAATAGCTCGTTATTTAAAACAATATATTCGGTATTTAAATTGATATAAAAATGTCTAGTTAAATTTTTGTATGCATTTAAAATTAGCAATGCAAAAAGTTCACTAGCATCATGATTCTTAAGCAATTTAAAGTGGGATATCCAAACACAAAATTAAGAGTAATATTAGGCTACAGGGAAGTGTAGAGCTATTTAGAACAACAGCTCCAGCACCATACATGAGACAGGTAGTCTAAACAAGAATAAATTAAACTTATCATTTTATGTAGTGATTTTTTTATGCATTTTACCAAGATAATTTATTTTGCATTAATTAGCTCACCCTTTGTTTTTCTTTAACATTAGGGCTATAGGCTATTAAAGGACAGGCTACTTCTGGTAATATCATCTTGTTGTTTAAACTCACAAATTAATATTCGTCCTGCACGCACTGTTAGGCATTTTTTAAGGACTTATTTGTGGTGTAATTATTCTAGCCACTAAATGTTTCTTTCTCAGTCATGTGACAGTTTTTTTTTTAAAGAAAGAAAATGACTGCATGAAAATATAGACTTTAAGGAATGTCTGCCTGTTTACTTAAATAACTGCTTTTCTTTTGACCACCAGAAGTTGTGTTTTTGGGTTCAACATTTAAAAAAAAATCTTTTGTCAAACAGGTTTCTGTCAGAGAATGAGTGATCTGTAAGGCTTAAGTCTATAAGCATTGAGTCAAGTGCTCTTCAGGCCTCTTCATCACATTACACTGAGTTTGAGTGGACACTTTATTGCTCAAATGGACCTCCATCGGACAGCCTTTAAGATGGAGAACTCCTCCTACATGCCCAGCCCGCTGACCTCCCCTGCCCTCATGGTCCTGGCATCAACAGCCGAGGCTGGACGAGATGCCTCTGTACCCTGCCAACCCCCTCGGCCGTTTGGAGTGCCGGTAACTTTGGAAAAGGACATACACCTCCCGTTCCCCAGTGGCTCATACTCCTTCGCCTCCATGTATCATCGGCAAGGAGGCTTTCCTACTCGAGACTTTCCCACCCCTCTGCTCCACCTTCACCCACAGTTTGCTCCACCCAATCTGGACTGCTCACCTCTGGGTATGCTCAACCACGGAGTGGTGGGGGCCTTCCGGCCGTTCTCCTCTCCACCTGAGGAGCGTGATGCAGGGGTTTACCAGTCTGCCTTCCTCCCTGCCAAGCGCTTGAAGGGCTGTCTGGAACCAGAGGCATCACCCCACCTCCGCTACACAGATGTGGAGGGAAAAGATTTTGACTTTGGGGGTGCTCATGTCCCTACTGGTTCACCAAACACCCTGAAGATAGCTGAGGATGCTGGGAAGAAGCTCTTTGGCTTGTCTGGGCTGTTGGCAGAGGGTTCATCTGGCCCAGAGGAGCACAAAGAACCAAGTAAGTATATCAGATCACATGAGATTCTTTGCCAATGGCCGATTATGAAATAAATTGCTTTTATTGGCCGATACCAATTATTGGCCGATACACTGGTGCATCTCTAATATATATATATATCGAGAGAGAGAGAGAGAGAGAGAGAGAGAGCGAGCGAGCAAAAACTCCCCCAAAATATTGGAAAAATATTTAAAAGTGTAATATTTTAAATATATTATTGGGTTGTAAAATATAAAATTATTTAAAATAATATGTGTTTAATATATAAATACAATATACAATACATTTTATATAATATGTAATAATTGTATATGAGATATATATACTGTATATATATATATAGTTTGTTTTGAAGATTTATATTTTTACATAAATTATATTTTATAAAAAAAATTATATATTTAATTATTTATTTATTTATATATGTTTATAATATTAAATTAAATATAAAAAAATTTAAATAGAATTTTGGGGGGCTTTTTGCCTTTTATTTATAGGACAGTATAGTGCCGACAGGAAAGCAGACGTGAGAGAGGAAAAGGGAGAATGGGATTGGGACAGCAGCCTAGAGCCCTTATATGTCCTGAGCATGTGCAAAGCTCACTGCTTCACATCTCTAACATGTCTACTTTATTTTTTTTATTATTATTAAATAATTATTGGTGCTATTGGAATGTTTTAAACAATGTACTCATTTATACAGGACTGCCAAAGAGGAGACTAAGATCTGCAACTATTTTATGCGTGAGTTTTTTGTATGAGTTAAGTGTAACTTACAGCTCCTTATTTTCTTATATAAGTCCCATGCAGTCCACAGATAAATGCCAAAAGTAGGCCTAGTCTACCCAAGTAGGCTATAACCAGAATAAGTACTGAATCACGAACAAATGATCTTGAGATGACAAAGGCGAAGGATTCGCAAATCTCTCCGCTCCAGACAACTTGTCAATGATAACGAGCAGGAGATGCTGCTCGGCAACCGCGTCTCTGAGTGCGACACCTCCAGCTCAATATCGCCCCCACGCCATCCATCCTGATTTGTTGACAAATGAGTGGGAGAGAGTGTCAATCTGGGCTGTAAGGAGAACGTGGCTCCTCATTACCTTGCTCTGTAATTGGCCACCGAAGCGAAGGACCCCACGTTCGTGCCGTGCGGCGGGACAGGGAAAAGAGACGCTCAAGCTTAAATTCGTAGGACGTCAGAACTCCTCGTAGGGGCGGAGGGGTAGAACCTGCAACATGAAAGACACGACAGAGGGGGCCGATGAGCCATGCTATATCAGAGACGAATGTCAATAGGAAAAATAATGACTGACTTTGACAGGTAGAAGAGATATTGCAGGGAAAAAGAGCCCCACATCAAGGTTCTTTTAGAAAAGTTTTCACCTCATCTAGAAGTGGGTTACCGACATGCTCCTTTTTGAATGCGTGGATAGAGCGCATATCCATACACCTCAATACACAAAATTATACTTGGTTGTGTATGTGAGTGTGTACTGTATATGTGTACGCATGCAGTTGCATATTGGGCCATACTGTCCTTTCAAAAAAATTTGTGTTTATATATATATATATATAT